GTTTTTTTTTTTTTAGTTTGCTATAGGGCACTTGTGTTCACCAGAAAGAGACAGAGAGGGTAAGAGGGAGAAAGTGAGAACTCACACCCCAGGGGGGATGGCCACACCATAGTCCCTTCTCCTTCAATCTCTTCTAGGGATTTTGGGCACTCACACGTGTTTTTCAAGCTGTTGGGTCTGGAATCAAACTGTTCAGTTGACCACATGGGATCCAGCTACCTTAATCTCCATACCATCTGACCCCAGTTCTATGAAAAAAAATTTTTTTGAGAGATTTTTGCTATAGGGTGTGTGTGCTCACCAGAGAGACAGAAAGTAAGAATTCGGCCCCGGGGCAGTGGTGGTGGTGGTGGCCATACTGCAATTCCTTCATTCTCCTCTCAAAATTTTTGGCATGCACGTGCATGTGCCCAGCATAACTTCCAAGTCACTGGGTCTGACACTCAAACTGCAGTCAGCCATGTGGGAGTCCAGAGCTTTGATCACTATGCCACCTGCTGCTCCCACACCACATCTATGTTTTAAAAATGTTTCTCTTGGGGCTGGCAGGTGACGTGGGGCACTGGACTCCCACATGGCCAACCGTGGTTTGAGTCCCGGACCTGGCGGCTTGCTTTCTCACTACCCTCCCAACCCCTGTACCCCTCTGGTCAAATGAAAATAAATAAATAAATAAATAAATAAAGTTAACTAAAATAATTCTTTTTTCTTCAAAGTCCTTTTTTTCTTTAAAGAATTCTATTTTAGCTAACTTTATTTGTTTATTTAAATTTGACCAGAGAGGGACAGGAGGGGTGGGGGAAAGTGAGAAAGCAAGCCAGGTTCAGGACTTGAACCGTGTTTAGTCTGGTGGGAGTCCGGCACCCTAACCACATCACCACTTGCTGGACCCAATAAAATAATTCTTTAAAAAAATTTATTGGGGGACCAGCAGTTGGCATAATAGCTATGTCACTGGACTCCCATGTAGTCGGCCACAGTTCAAGTCCCGGACCTGGTGGCTTAAACTCATGCTGGGTGCATGTGCATGCATGGCCAGGATCCCAAGAAGAGAATGGAGAAGGGATTACAGCGTGGTCATCTCCCCCGGGGAATGATTTCTCACTTTCTGTCTCTCTGTCTCTTTCTGGAGAGTGCACGAGCCCAATAGCAAAAACCTCTCAAAAAAAAAAAAAAATATATATATTTCTTGGGCTGGCAAGGGGTGGTTAAAGGCACTGGGTTCCTACATGGCTGACTATGGTTTGAGTTCCAGACCTGGTGTTTTGCTTTCTTGCTTTCCCTTTCTCTGTGTCTTGCTGGTTAAATTAAAAAAGTAATAACAAATGGAATTAAATAAATACATATTTTAAAAATAATTTCTCAACCCCCTCTTGATTCTTTTTCTTTCTTCTTTTTTTTTAAAGAGATTTTTGCTTCAGGGCACGTACACTCACCAGAGAGACACAGAGACAGAAAATAAGAAATCATCCCCTGGGGGGATGGTCATGCCACAATCCCTTCTCCTCCACTCTTTTCTTGGGATCTTGAGCACACACATACATGCCTGGCATGAGTTTTAATTCACCGGGTCTGGGACTCAAACCGCAAGACTCAAAACTTTCATCTACATGGGAGTCCAGTGAAATAACCATTACACTAGCTGCTGGTCCCCCTCTTGATTCATTTAAAAAATTTTTTAAAAGAATTATTTAATTTTGGGGCCAGCAGGAGGCGTGGTGGTTTGTGGCGCTGGACTCCCACATTGTTGACCGCAGTTTGAGTTCTGGACCTGGTGGCTTGCTTTTTCACCTTCTCTTTCTCTCTCTGGTCAAAATAAAAAATAATAATAACAAATGGAGTTAAATAAAATAAATAATTCTTTTAAAAAGAATTATTTAATTTTATCATTATTATTTTTTAATTTGCTTTGCTACAGGGCATTTGCTCTCAGCAGAGAGAGAGGGAAAGTGAGAGAGCAAGCCACCAGGTCTGGGACGTGGTCATGGCAGTCAGCCATGTGGGGTCCAGTGCCCTAAAAACCACATCACCTGCTGTCCCCACCTTATTTTAGAGTTAATGGGCACACTTAAATTTCTCTTCCTTTCTTACCCAAAAGCACTATTTACTTCCATGGTCTATTTCAATGGCTGAATGGTCTTCTATGTTCTTGGTAACATGCCATATCTTTAAAAGAATTTTTTTGGGGGGCTGGCAGGTGGTGTGGTGGTTGCCATGCTGGACTCCCACATGGCCGACTATGGTTGGAGTCCCAAACCTGGTGGTTTGCTTTCCCTTTCTCTCTCTGGTCAAATTAAAAATAAATAACAAATACAAATAAATAATTATTAATTTTTTTCATTTGTAAGAGGTCATGTGTACTACCCAGAGAGAGGGAGCAAAGAAAGCAACTCCCAATGGGGCATGGTCATGCTGCAGTCTCTCCTCCATCTCTCCATCCTGTTGGAATTTTGGGCACACACACATATGCACCTGGTATATGGTATATTCAAGTTACCAGGTGCAAGATTCATCCTCTGGTTGGTCATGTGGGATCCTGTTCCCTTTTACTTATTTTTTTGCGAGAAATTTTTGCTATAAGGCATGTGTGTTCACCAGAAAGACAGAGAGAGAGAGCCAGAAAGCAAGAAATCACTTCCCAGGAGGGATGGTACACACTGCAATCCCTTCTCCATTCTCCTCTTGGGATTTCAGGCACACATGCACATATGTGAGCCAGGGGAGTTTCAAGTCGCTGGGTCCAGGATTCCAATCAAGGTCGACTTACATGGGAGTCCAACACCTTAACTACCACGCCACCTGCTGGCCCCAATAGTGTTCCCTTAATCACCAGGCCAAGGACCAGCTCACATGCCTTGTCTTTTATTTTTATTTATTTTTTAAGTAATTATTTATTTTATTTATTCACTCATTTATTTTCACTTGACCAGTGGAAGAAACAGAGAGAGAGAAGGAAAGTGAGAAAGCAAGCCACCAGGTCCAGGACTCAAACCGTACTTGGGCGATGTGGAAGTGTCCAGCGTCTTAACCGCCACACCACCTGCTGGTCTCATTACTTTTATTTTTCATTAAAGTATTTTATTTAACTTTATTTATTATTATTATTTTCCAATTAGACCAGAAAAAGACAGAGAGATGAGAGAGCAAGCCACTAGGACTGAGACTCGAACCACTCTAAGCCAAGACCATGCCACCTTCCTGCCTCATGCCTTGTCTTTTAAAACTACACCTCCCTCAAGGTGCAGTTAATTTCTGTTTTTAACAGGAACTTCTAATCACAGGCCTGCTTGAGTCCTTTTAATTATTTAGCATTTACTGAATGTCTACTAAGTTCTATGCATTACTCTAGGTTTTAAAGATGCACCAATCAACGCACAAGATTTTAGTCCTCATGGAGTTTATATATTATTTACAGGGAGACAGACAATAAAATAGGGTCTCCCAATCAGTCTTTGAAATGGGTAAACTAGCTCAGTATTCTATGAGTGGGTGCTGGTGTACATTTGTGAAACTTCACAATCTGTTAACCACACCCCACATTAAGCCTCCTGTCTCCAAGCATGTGATGGGGCTTGATTGTCTAGTGAGTTATCAGTTGGCCTCGTCCTTAGTTGTACAAGTTGTACACAGCTCTCACACTAGATTTTGGGCTCTTACAAGACCTTGAACTGAAACCTCTTTGTCACACAGATGGCACAACTCAGAGATTCCCTAAACGTGGTCTTGGGACCAGCTGCATTAGAATCACCCAACCTTGCAGTTATCAGGCACCACTCCAGGGTTTTGGAACCCGAATCTCTTAAGGGCAGCTTCAGAATCTGCAAGTTTCACAAGCTTCCCAAGTGATGTGGCGTAAATTAATGTACGCGACTCGTAAACATGTTTCAGAAATTTGGTTTGACGGGATTGAAGAGCTCTGGAAACTGACTAAAGTGCCTACAAGGCAAGACTGAGTTCCATGGGAAGCTGAAGGGGGTGTGTGTGACTCTTTGGGGAGTTCTATGACGAGATCGCTATTACGCCACATCTCTCACACCGCCAGTGTCGCACCACCTCCGTGACAGCGGTCCGCTGGGCTGTTCTCGCGATATGACCCTTGTACCTGGCCACGAGGAGCAACGGCCCCCGAACGCCATGGTACCTGCGCCAGCCCAGCACCGAAAGGAAGCTGGGGTATTGGTTTCCGCTGCCAGCACCCAAGATGGCGGCACGAACGTCACCACCACGAGACCCACATGCTCCATGCTCCGCCTCAGCCCCCTCGGATCTCGCTGGACTTTTGCAAGTCACTCTGGGAACCCTCAAGGGGGGGTTCCGCGTTCCGACGGCAATATCGGCTCCCGTTCCTTGCCCTAGTCCCCCATTCTCCAGCCGCAGAACGCACTGGCAGCGCCCATCCCGTAACAGCGTGCACCGGTGGGGTCCAGAATGCCGGGCAGAAGGGCCTTTGCCACACTCATTGGAGGGCCCACGCCACGGGGCGGGCCTAGTCACCCATTGGGCCGTGGACTTTGTCAGTCTTAGGAGATAGGGCCAAGGAGGTGGAGACATGCTCAGCCATTGGGCTCTTTCTGCTGTCAGTCAGAGCGATATCCGGCGACGGCCACAGTATGGACTCACTGATTGGAGAAGCTCTTCCTGGGGTGGCCGCCATGGGCGGGCTTCCGAGTGATGTGGAAGGAGGGGGCGGGGAGGGAAGCGGAGGCTGGGGAGCTCTAGGCCGGCCGGCGGTGGCGGCGGCTGCGAGGCCGGGACTCGGGCTGAGGGCCTGCTGTGGGGA